TTGCCAGGAGCAACCACAATAGAATCACAGCATGATGAACATCTTTTTCTGTCGTTAAAGGAGTCGTCGTCAAAAACGCTAGGTAGACTAAGTGCGGCCCTGATTCTGATCACCGCCAAAATACAAAACCTATATTCATAACAGATATATATATATATATATATATATATATCGGAATTGCATAGATATGTAGACAATGTCTTAACGTCAATTATAGCCGTTTAACCAAATACATTAGAATGGCAATTTGGTGCCAACACGTTCTGATAATCTAAATAGCAAATTCCCATCAAATTCCACTAATAGTGTCGCTATTCCCTGCATCCGGTGGGAACTTTCTAATTAACACATTGATTAAAGCTGCACGGTTTATATTAGTAGGTATATTTTACTAGCTGAAGTAGAGACTTCATCTGCATATGAATTTCAAATGAAAATTAGATCGATGGAAATCATTACAGAGATAAAACATAGGGATATAGGTGTCTATAGGTGGACGGATAATGGCTGAAATGTAATGATAATATACGTGTCTTATATATAAATCTGGAATATGGTATATCTATCAGTATAACAAACTCAATCCATTTTGTCATTTCAGTGTGGTTAACAAATTTTAAAGTATCATTAACGAATAATACAAATATTTGCAAAATTTTACATTATAATCTATAGTATGCAATTGGTATACAATTCAATACATGTATTTAAACATCTTTAACGTAGCATCCACAAATATATGTGAACTATCATTAGTGAGATCATTGAACAAGCACAGCGTTTTACAAACTTGCAGAGAACGCATCCAGCGTTGAATGAACAGAAGCACACTTGGAGACACGAACCAATAAAGCACGATCCACCATACGCAACATAACATTATACAAATATCTCCAGAGCGATCGATGTAAATTCAAGAAGCCTCATTTCAGCAATCTTCAAGTGTTCATAAACAAATACAAAAGCTATCATAGACGACATAGTATACTCTGTTATATTCATGGTTTTGTTCATATCTATTCCTTCAAGTGGCGGCTGCCATTTTATACATTTCTCCTTAATTGGCGAATACCCGCTGCTGTCAGGAAAAAAGAACAGCGCATCTGGCAAGCTCCCGCTGCGGGACAATGTTATAGTACTCTGTTTTGATGTGCCTAAAACTATTTCTACACGGTTCTAATGCATTACAATGCGATATCGTTAAACAAAGACACTCTACTGATATTATTATTCAGTATACTCAAAAAAGGTTCATTCATATAGAAATTTCATTCTCCGGGTTCATTTGCACAGTGGTGTATACTCGTTCAAAACGATTGTGGTTTTTACTTTTTTTCGACTGATTTGATGGTATTTCAAAGATACTACACAAAATTAGTGAAAAGGAAGATGAATGGATAAGTAATACACATAATTCTTAGGTACTCTTTATGTTGTGAGAAAGTTTTAAAAAAAAACTATATTCATTAACAACCAAAAATTGGGAAAATTTCATTATCTCTACTTTTAACGTGGAATATTATTTTATTTTTACACCTTAAATGTCTGTATATAATTTGATAGCATATTTCCCCATAATTCCAAAAATAGATGATAAGTACATATGTTTCACACAAAACAGTTTAAGTGTCAGTTTTTCTAAAAAAAACATTTTAGAAGAAACTCCCCCGTTGAACCTCTACCAGATGTGCCAAAATTGATCCCGCTAGAAGTAGCAATTTTTTACTGTCCCACTGCGGGAATTTGCCATACGAAGGGCTATAGCGATGGTTCCCGCTCTGGTAACCCTGTCTTTTCAACATGAGCGATTGCCGCGACCGATTTCTTCAGAGGATGCTCCTACACGAAATGCCACTGGGCATGTGAATGTCCAACCAAGGCTTAAAGTGGCAAACAGATGACAGAAGAGGGTCCAGTATCCCGTTACAAATTGCATTTAATGAAATAATGAAATCAGAAGGCGCTCAACATCTAATGAAGAAATACGGTAGGTAGATACATATAGCAATTGGCCGGGGGCACGTACCGGCTGGGTATAATCCTTCGCCGGCGGTGTTCAATCTACTCCAGTCATAAACCGGTGTTCCGCGGACGTAAACTGTACTACGTGCCGCGGCGAAGTGAATTGAATAATACACGCTGTGTGATCGACGATCACTGTGAATACCTAGATGTATTTTAGGAATTAGAGTATGCACTGCACCTTCATGAATTTTATATATGGTTAAATGGAAATCATTAGAATCTTTTTAAAGGGTTGTTCTAGTAATAAAATTGAATATTTTTCACGAAGAAAAATGGGTAAAACCGACAAAATAACCTTAGGGTTATATTATATATTATTTTACGTTTAATAGCTATCTGTTGCATCATATAATAAGGTAATCTATTCAAAATTGGCGATGTAATTCCGCAATATAATCACAAAAATGTATGACAAATTAAGAACCTTATTCTTTTGGAAGACAATCAATAAACTCAACAATTGCAGACAGATATAACTATTAGCTATTTCTTTTTAACGACTCTGTATTATTTGCACAAAACAGCGTAAAAAGAGGAAGGTAATTATAAATTATGGCCAACCTATATTGTTTTAATAACGCAGCTCATAAAATGCTGAATCACAAATTTGAATGAACAACTCCTTCCGCTCCATTGCACTCTTATTTTCAAACTTCCAATTCGATGATTCGGGCAATTGAACTTTTACGAATAACTTTACCTGCTTGGCCATGTGTAAACGAGACATACCTATACATGAGTGAATATACAAGTTTACATTATGTTCTTAAAACTACATAGCATAGGTGTATATATACATATATACACAATGTGAAATTGAAAACATTACTTAGCAGCCTTTACCATACTTCTTTCAAATAGATGAAAATGGAACTTAAAATACTTTAAAATTTCAAGACAAAATTCACCAACACATGTTTCCAGTAATGACTTGCAAAACCGAAACATGATCTTATACTGCTAGCTGTGTAAAGAATATCTTATAATTGCTCAATAAGCTATGAAGAGCCGAAGAAGAAAAGATTTGGCCGTGTGGTCCCGGCAAAGAATAGGCCACCCCTTCCTATCCCATAGGTATCATAAGAACCGACTAAGGAAGGGAGACGAATAGGTAGTAGCATCTCTCTTAAAATAACTCTAAAACCTAACTGTCTGGGATTGTCAATTCGCCTGCCAAGCATGGCAACTACCGGCAAAACCTCCCCAAGGGGAGGTTTCTTCAGAGTCGGCAACGCACGCGTAATACCTCTGGTATTGCAGATGTTCATAGGCTACGGTAACCATTTACCATCAGGTGGACCGTATGCTTGTTTGCCATCTCAGTGGTATAAAAAAAGGCTTATGTTATGTATATTATAGATAGTTAAAGGTATAAGCCTTTAACTGTCTATAACAATATCAAAGATGATGATGAAGCTATGAAGAGGCTATGGTCGTATTCGTTGCGTTATAGAATCTGAAATAAAGATATCCGTAAAAGAACCAAAGTGACCGATAGATAGTACTTATAATATATAACTTATAATCCAAAATATCAGCAAATAGCAATGAACCAGCTAGAAGAACGAACCGATAGGGAAATAAGCTTCACGGGTGGCGAACCCATACAGAGAAATGCAGTGTACCTCAAATGGCCACTAGATAGAACGAGGACCTCAAATATTAATGGAAAGTATAATAGATACATGTTACTCAGAACTATTTCTTTTAGCTGTTTATAAAGCAGGCCTATCTGCAGCAGTAAATAATGAAAGACTAAAGTAAATAAACAATTATCTAATAAGCGTACACAACTTACAATCACGAGCAGACTGTATGAGAAGATAATCTAAGTTTGGTCACGAACATGATAGTTAACTACAATAATAAAATTAAATAAGTATATATACATCAACATTTTCTAATACCGGAAATACGTAATCTATCTTGAAAGCCTCAATAATAAGGATGTTTTGAAATTGGAGACTCAAGATGGTAACCACGACGTCATTACATTAGTGACAATTTGAGGGAAGTTAGTGTTAATGTGACACTCAACTCGCTTCCCTTGGCAAATCTGCGTGTAATAACCCGCGCCGCCCGCGTCCTTACTCTAAATGAATATTCATAACGCGATCGACGTGCCTTCTCTTTATTCACTGTAAACACGTGTACGTGTCATTTCAAGCCTATCTTGTATTACGTATTCTATTTCTGTAGAAATTTAAGCCATATCTAAGACTTATACCTGAATTCTAGTTCATCGTACCAAGTTCTGTACTTATAATGTGGATAAATGTAGAATTGTGAAAGTGTAAACAAATCGCAAAGGAACTTTACCTAAGTCTAAGAGATTTATGGTTTACAGAATATGTTACGGTGGACTCGAGGGAACTGTGACGAGGGTGTATCGATTGGGTCAGGTTCATTTGGTTGTATACGCCCGTGACACAACATATAAATTGTACCAATTGATAGGTAGTTCTGTTTAATCTAAATATGTATTTAATGGCACTCAGTTACTTCAGGCCCTACTTAACCAGCCGGGAATACAGAAGGCGCATGACACACGGACACCAAATTCTTGAGAACGCTTCATTGTAAATCGTCAAAGTATTTTTTTATTTCTCATATTTTTGACGGAATGAGGGTCACAGCGCAGATCTGATTTTTACCTCGAGACGCAGAATATACTAGGACGACCCTTTAGTTATTCGTAATGTGAATATCCACAACTAAACATGAAACCCAATGATAATATGAAAGTGAACAACTTTCTTAAAAGAGTCACAATATTTTTTAATGCCGTAAATTATAAAATTCTAGCGAAACGCCCTAGCTTCATTAACATTATGCTCTCTACGTTAGTTACTAACCAGCTGGTTACTGAATTCTGCATTTTAGTACATACGTACTAATACGAAATTAACCATAATATATGAGATGCCTAAATTATATCCCTCCTAAGACCAAACAAGAAAATGAAATAAATCCAGTTTAACATTTCAGTCATTTAATTTACTTTTTTTGCATATACACTTAAATTTACGGAACCTACCATAGGCAGTTTACTAAGATTAAAAGTCAAAAAGTAGTAATAGTAGCGAATCCAGAAATAAAATACTCCTATGCTACAGTAGACAGATGTAAGCATTAGGGGTAAAAATGGTAAAGTTCTATCCAATCCGAATGCTGCATGAAGAACATTTTCATAAATACATAAAATCAACAAACCATATATGTATAATGATTCTATATGACTAAGCATGGGTAAACGCATAAACGCCCGACGTCTTTTACTACTTTTCGACTTTTGGGGTACTTCATATAAAGATGGAATGTTACCAAAACCAATTGCAGTATGTGTCAACAACATAAATATTTTGATAGCCAATAAGTTCTTTGGATATAACAAAGGAAAAAGGGAATAATGACCAACTGTAGATATAATCAAGAACAATTTTCCGTCTTCATCTCCCAGCACGGACATAAAGCTGAAACAAATCATACGAAAATATAAATTTATGAGATGCGTGAAAGCAAAATAAATTTGATAAGTTTGATTGTATAACAAAAACGATATATGATGTTTTTTTCATAAATTACAATCGTGATATCAAAAGTGTATTTAGTTTAATGTAGGTTGTCAAGAAACTGTTTTGTGCTTCGAGCCGGATCATTTTAATCATTGAATCAAAAATCTAACTTCCTCTCCAGTTTATTAACTTTAGTTTTTTTTTTTATTTTTTATAATACAGGGAGCAAACGAGTATGCGGCTCACCTGATGGTAAGTGACTACCGCCGCCTATAATCACCGACAACACCAAAGGCATTGCGGGTGTGCTGCCGGTCTTTTAAAAAGGAATATACTCTTTTATTGAAGTTTATTACGTCGTATCGGTTTGGCAATACTACTGCTAGAAGTTAATTCCACAGAGTGGTTGTGCGTAGTATAAATGCTCAAAGTAAAAAAATAGAATAAGCAAAGACTCGGATTAAAGATATAGTTTGCCTTACAGTTTCATTATTACCAAACCTTATGTATATAGAACATTATCACATACTGTTTGTTGTTAATTATACATGAATAGCAAAATCTGGCAGACAATGTTCTGGCTACAGTTAATCTCATATAATTAAACCAACATAGGAGTACATTTACATACATATGTATCCTTACTATTTAATATTTTACATTACCTACTACTACAATTTATAATTGGCTTAAGTATCACTTCGCCTTTGTTTACTTTATTTCTTATTTTTGTAAGATTGGACTAACTCTAGGTGACATTTTTTAATGAATGCTAATGAAATGGTAACCTAGCCTGCGCTAACGAAATACGCTGGCAGAGCACCAGTTAGGAACGATAGGTGAAATTAAAAAGGCAGGTCAGTTAGCCCATCGTGATTATTTTTTTAAGTTTGATTTTTGTTAGGATAACCCAATGATAGTCGCGTTTGCGCTAACGGTATACGCTCGCTTCTGCCGGGTATTGGTATGGTTTTGGATTTGGGATGTAGTTTTGTGGGTTTGGATATGGGAGTTGGGTTAAGGGTGGAGGTTTGAATGACGTTATGTGTGTTATAGTGGTTGGGGTGGATTTAGTGATTATATTTGTGGGTTTATATTTGGAATGGGTATGGTTTTGGATTTGGGATGTTATGTGGGTTTGGATGTGGGATTTGGAGAAGGAGGGTTTATATATTGTGGTGGTTTGGGTGGGTTAAGGATTTTGTTTGTGGGTTTGTAATTGGGATTTGGATAAGGTTTTGGATTTGGGATGTTGTCTTGTGAGTTTGGATGAAGGATTTGGGTTAAGAGTGGAAATTAGGAGAGGTGGGTTTGAATGATGTTATGTGTGTTGTGATGGTGCCCATCGTAGTTAATACACTTGAAATTCAGCATGATTGTTTTCAGGGGGGACCACATGAAAGTTGAGTTGACAGGGTGCATTGCTAGCAATGCGACTGGTAGTCCGCATCACTAACAATCCCTTCTCCACCTCCTCTGTCTTTGTGCTTTAATGGCTCATCCAACTATCACATTTACAATTTGCTCTACCTGGTCAATCAATTTATATTTGTTATGCTAAACACAGGCAAAAACTAATATTTATATAAATGTATATTTATACCATTATATTAAAGTTACAATCTATGTTGGACTAGAAAAACCTAAATAAAAAATTTAATAAATAAACTGTTTTACATACCTTAGTGGTATTAAGAGCATAAGTATTGCCTTTTCATGAACATGCCACCCAAACATAAAAGAGCAAGTTGCACATACGATAAGACACCTGAAAAAAAAACAGACCAACTATATTAGTCTATGTCATGAGAAAAAAAAATATTGCATACTATTTGATGAAAAACCTAGGAACAGCACAAAATCATAAATGTTGAATAATCTAATTTATTATGCCTGCATGATTAAAAATCTAGTAATATAAAAAAATTTACTTCAATATATTTAGTGATACATTTCATTAAATTAAATAGATTTCATTAAACTTAATCTAGCAGTATGTCAATATGCAAATAAGATTAAAAAATATTGTAATGTTTATCATTAATAAATTAATTATAAATGGAAAGGTGTTTTGATGTTTATACAACAAAATTGAATAATATTGTATTATGTATATAATTAATAAAATAATAATAAGAGCCTTTTGTAATTTGTTTTCAATAATTAATGTAAACAAAGAAGTTGCTATTCTAATACAATAATTACATACCTAATTGGATTGGATTACATACTAAATGTGGAGTAAGACTTAAAAATTTCATTCAAAATTATATTATTCATATATATATAGGCAATGTATAAATTTTACGTTTTTATATACTAACCTTATAAAACTTAGAGCTCTGTACCTCCTATCAGCACAAAGACACCAAAGTTTTATTAGGGCAGGAAGCATTGAAAATCCAGCTAATATAAATGTCATCCATGGTTTTATAGTGGGCAATACAATATGATCATATTCCTGAACCAGGCCACCAGTCATGGAAGCTTCCAGTTTTGGCACATTGATTCCCAACTTTGGCACTACAAAATACAAATATTGAGTATTTGACTAGCACCAAGGTATATATTGTAACTTAATTAACCAACCACTCACAAATCTGTTGCAAAACTTTATCACCAAAATTATACAGTGCCCAAAAATTTGGAGCCCAATATGCGTGACATAAACCTCTTTTGAATGGAAATAATCTTGATAGTAACTGCAAATCAAACAGTCATGTTTTAGTAAAAATTTGCATTACTTATTATTTACTAATAGTCACAAAATCTGATTTTAATTTAAATGTAAATATGCCTCACCTGTGGTAAGTGATCTATAAAAGGCCCAAATGACAAAATGAACACTATTGTGACAGTAATAGCCAGTTTAAACAAATTTGTAATAGAGAAGGAATACCATGGTGTGTGAATACCATCACTGGATGAGATTGTAAAACAATATGCCCTTAGCAAATAAACAATATATACAGGTGCCACATAGGCATATATGTGTTTCAAATTTAATAATACAGCAAACCATGTAGCAGCCTGAATATAATTACTCTGAAAAATAAAGTATGTTACATTAATATCTATAGGAATATATACAATTTAAAAAAAAATGAACAAAAACTACTTACTGTTATCATGTTTGATATTGACAAAAGAAGAAAACCATACAACAATCCATTATATTGAAAATGTATATGATCAACCATTAACAATCCTGGATTGGACACCAATAATATAAACACAAGAAGCTTTCCATTTCCTATTAAATTAGAACAACTGAAAATGGCACATATATTTAAAAGAGAAACGAATCAATAATATACACAATTTAACAAATATAATAATCTGAATACACACATAAAAATCATGTCACAATGTTGGCCCTTACTAATCTCAATCGTACCCACATAACCAATAGTCTTTAGTCATTTATTAAAAAAACAATGTGCATTGTGTCTTAAATAATGAATAATCATACAAAACAGCATCAAATTAAATTTAATATTACAAGTATTGAACAACAATAATAAATATATATTATACAATTAATAATGTCAACTTCATTCATTATATATATGTCAAATAAATTTTTTAATTGTGGTATTTACATTAATCACAAGCACAAAAGTCATTAACGGACTAATAGCATTTTTCCAATAAAAAGGATCATAGTTTAATTTTAAAGAAATTGAGATTTTGTACAATTTTCAGCTAGACGAGTAATTTATTAAATAACACTTCTGCCTGATGTAATAATATTTTGTATCGTAATATTTTGTAACCTGGTGACATTTTGACAGATATGGCAGGCAATATGGAAAAACCCCTGTTTACTAAGGGATTGTTAGAAATAGGGTCTGATCCATTGCCAGCAATACACTTTATCAGGTCAACCTCCATGTGGTTCCCCCTGGAAACTATTGTGGTTAATTCTAGTAGAATTTGTCATGATCGGCTGACTGACCTGCTTTCATCCTCACCTATCACCTCTTACTGATACCCCACTAGCGTATACTGATAGTACAGGCAGGACTACAATTCCATTATCACACATTAAAAAAACCCTGTTTACTAGATAAACTAGTCATAAAATATACTAATCTATATTAATATTATAATATTTATATAAACCTAACAAACCTTTTAACACCAAGTATATAAATTAAATCCAATGCCATCACTGATAATCTTTGGAACAGAATAGTCATATCAGAATCATAATTTAAATTGGTCACATGGAGCATTTTCGGGTCAAACCATTTAGCCATATGCGACAGGATATACTCCAACCAAGCAAAAAATGGGGGATAATCCAGAGTCCATTCCGATGTCGAATCATAATACCACTGGTCTATAGATAAATTGTGAGTGATTGCTAACCAATTTCTATGAACTTCAAAATCAGTAGAACGGCTGAAAGAATATTATAATGTACCTGTTATTCAGATTAAAAACAATAATATAACCCCATAAAATAAACACTTACTACAATGGTATAAAAAATATTTTTACTGTGGTTACTATTAATGCTATTTGCCATATCATGACTCATTAATTATATAAAACCTATAATTGAACCCTAATTTATAGTAGATATTTAATTTAACATTATTTCTTAATTTAGCAGATACAAAATAAACGTAAAAACAACTGTAAGAAACTTGTTATCATATTTTTTTTTTTTTTAGTACGTTTGTTCCGTTTGGAACAGGCTAAGGTCGGAGACCATGCTGCCTAGTCTTCAAAAAGATAATTTGTCTGGAATGATGGATATCATGTAACTATCAGTTAAATGTCATATATATACTTATATGTTTAAATCTAAGAACAAGGAATTACTTTAAAATCTTTGTTTTAAGGGCCGAAAAACGAGGTAAATATACACGAAATCGACCTTTATACTTCCACTTCTTCATTTTGTTAGACAAATTGTCATTTTTACGCATTCTAAGTATCTCCGATTGTTCAAACTATACAAATAAATAACCGTAAAATCTACGAAAACATAGATAATATAATACTATACATCATATTGAATTACTCAATGTCCTCAGCGGTGTAAAAAAAAATGATTGATTTGTTTAATTAAGTTTGAAGATCAGACTGTATAACTTAGTTCCTTTGTCTTTCCGTTGTGTAAAAATAATACTACTATTTGTCAGTCATTGAGTCAATCAGTCAAATTTTAAATAAATATTTAGAGTCTATGAAGAAAACCTAAAAATATAAATTATAATTAACCCTGTCGTCAGTCAGTAGATCAAATTAATTTTATTGCCTACTTATTCATGATAGGTTTTGCTAGGTCAGTGATTACAGTGATAAAAAAACTTTTGACAATAAGACAAGGACTCTCAAATAACAATAATAGATAATAAATATGGCTATACTTCATAGGGCTTTATTTACCTGGTTTATCTTTTTAGTATTTTTAATATTATTGTGTCTGAGGTTAGAATCAAGAACACATTGGAATTGGTTTATAGTTTTTATACCTATGTGGGTTTATGACAGTATATTATTAATATACGTTTTATTTCATATGATTTCTCACTGTAGAAATGGCATTGAAATATTTCGAGGTACTATCAATAAAAATGTATGGTACATTGCCGCTATTGCATTGAAAATGGCTGCTCAAATCATCATTTGTGTAAAATTGGAATACACAAAAGTAAATCTACCCATATATGTTGTAATGACCCCTATATGGATGTTATTACCTGTACTGTGTGTAGAAGTTTTCATGCATCTCCTAAAACATTCAAGTACGAGCAGTAGATATTAAATTGTACCTTACACATATCTCAGTATGATATAAAATAAAATGCCAGTGTCTGAACTATGATAAAATCTCTAAGGAAAGAACATGTGACTCCAATAGTGTAGATAATTTTAAACTTGGCACACATTCATTGACATAGCTGTTTGCTCATGTCAAAATCTTCAGTGTCATGGTTGGAAAGTAATGATATAACTCCACCAAAGTTACAGTACTTACATATTAAGTATAAAAAATGCCTACTTTATCTGATAGTGCCGCTGAGATTAAAAACTCTGGAGTAACTAAAGTGTCTGCAGGAGATACAGCTGTTTTAAAGTGTATCAGTAATGACTACAAACACAATTTTATGTTTTGGCTTATTGATCAGACTAAAATCATTGGACCTGGAAATGAGTATGACAAAAATAAATATTCATATGAGGTATTGTCTGGGAATCTTAAAATTCATGTAAGTTAATAACTAAGGTTACCTATTACTTGTTTCATTATTTTATATACTACTACAAATTGCAAAATAACAAGGAATGTAACATGATGGATCATTATACATGAACAAACATTGAATGTCTGGTTCTATGGCAAATTCCTCTTTATCATACAAAAATCTCTTTTATCATACAAATATCTCCTTTATGTTTACAAAGATTTGATCTCCTTGTCTTGGTTATTATTAAAATAGTGTTCCACAAAAAAACTAACTTCAATTGTGGCAAAACCATATTTTGTTTAAAAAGATTTTTTATTTAAAAACTAAACTACAGAATCAATTTGACAGAAATTTTATGGGACTTATCTTTATATTTTTTTAAATAAAAAAGAATTTTCCATATCAGTTTACAAATGGAATTATTAAGTAGCAAACATAAAAATGTAACAGAATTGGAAAACTTTTTTAATTATGTTGAAAGTATGGCAAAATGTATATAAACTTATTTTAAAATATGCAAAGTAGCAACAAAATGTTTTTGCAGTTAACATTCGAATAAAATAAGAATATCCCTCCCTCTTTCAGTTGTCAGAGTAAGGAAACTTAATAGTTGGGGGATGGGCAGAAGCATGCCTCTTAAAATGATGTTTTAAGTATCATCAAAGCCTAACTGCGCTTGCCAATCCGCTTGTCAAGCATGGTAACTACTGGCAAACACAGAAAGTCCACACAAAGGAGGCCTATGTTCAGTTTAAAACTGTTTTGGCTGATGATGATGAAAATGAGAATTGCATGTATATGTATTTCCAGGCTGTAACTCCAGATGAGGCTGGATACTATAAATGTATCTCAAAAGATATCAGTGGTTCAGGAGGAATTACAGTAGGGGAAGTGGAAATGGTAGTTGGTGGTGCAAAATTTTCTGCATCTGAAGCTGTCAAACTAATAGCTATGGTGGTCTCTATTATCATTATAATTGCTTGTGCAGTAATTTATTTTCGCTTAAGAAAAGAATGGAGCAAATATGATGGTCGAACTGCTGTACCAGGTAATCTTATATCTAAAATAAATAATATTATGTTTAATTTAAAATCTTAAATCTTATTAATATTACTTCTATATAGTATTTATAGATAACTGTAATATTTTTTATTTTTTAAATTCTTAAAGGTCTAAAAAAGAATGAGAATTATTTTTTTTCTATAGAGTAACGAACAAATTTAGCAACACATCTGATAAAAATGGGAGACAACCCAAAACTAGACAATGTTATTGTTTATATTATAAATGATATACTTGTTTGCTACTTTGTCATTGATGTAGAGGTCATAATGAATAACTCCTATAAGTTGAGTAAAATCAAGTTACTGCTGTTAAATATTTTTTTTATAAAAGATTACTTTTTGGTTTCCATTTGTCATTAATTATTAATGTAATAATGTTCAGTTCAAATAATTTAACAGTGGATGATACAGAAGATGGAGATGAAATATACAACCAAACAACTACTACTATAAACCAACCTGTTGCTGGCCCCAGCAGGAATCCATCATCAGAACAACTTCTTTATGGTATTGATAACCAAGGTTTGGATACAGATTTTAATTCAGTATTTGAAAATATACAAATAAAATCCCCACAAAGGAGTTTAATATAATTTTAACGAATTATTTAAATTTTTAATTTGTCCTAGTCTAATGTGTACAACTCTGAGTTAGTGAACCAATTTGGAATTATACATCCTTATTTATTAGTAGAAATTCATTCTATGTCTTGTAATGTAAACATAATTTCTTTTAAATCTGTAAATAGTATGTTTATTATAGATATTTACCATAGCCAGTTGCTTCTCAGCAGCACATTATATGTTATATAAGTAACCATTTTTCTCAAGGGTTAAGACTAAAAATTTGGTATGTGATTGATATAGATGATAATGTGATAAATTTAGTATTTTAATTGTAATTTAGGCATATACTTAATTATTAGCATTTTTGTACAATATCATATTATGAAAATAAAAAAAATTAAACAAAAGTTTATAAGTATTATATTTAATTTGCATGTTAAATTCTGTTAAAATGTAATATCATCCGTAGTGTTATGCCTATCAGGTGTTCCTTGACTAGTTACACTTCTGTGCGCTGTTTGTGACTGCGGAGTGGTTTCTAATGTATCATCTTCCTCATCCTCACCATCAACTTCCATTTCAAACACTTTCACCTTTCTAAAAGTTTTCGATAAAACTACAGCTACTTTCCGACCACCAGAAACAGCTATACGGTAGCCATCCATTTTATCAAGCAGTTTATAAACACCTTGATCTAATAAAGACGAAATATTTTTAACTGTCAATTTGTCACTAAATACGCACGCTTTCGATTTAATGTTGAATTCGGTGGAATTTTCTAATGCAATTTTAGTTGGTACTTGGATGAAAATACTGCTTTCATTATTTGGATGTTGTACAAGAACAGATAAAAACTCAGAGGAATAATATTGTAAATCTAATACTGTCAAACATTCTCCATCTATTGAGTCTTTGTTTCCAATCAAGAAATTAGATGTGAAATAATATTTTGTTGCAGTAGCACTACATAACTTATCTTTTATGTTAGTAGACATAAAATAGAGTCCATTATCTCTACCCACACTCACTAAGGCAACCATAAATCTTTCTTGAACTTCATCATAGATTTGTGTAACCCTTAAGTTGTTGTTAAGATTAATATTTGTTTGATCTTCATAACATTTAACATTATGTAAAAGGGAAAAATGTTTACCCACATCTTTTGAAGTAACATCAAATACTCTGTTTACCGCATTTTTTAAATATATCTGTTGTTGTACAAGAGAAAACTTTCTAAATTCAGTCATTGAAAAAATTGTATCATTATCTTTCAGCAAACATGAATTATCTTTCAGAAATTTGTGCCAAGGATTGTCTTCGTCATCTGGCAATATAGTCAAATCTTGATCTTGTAAATACTGCCCCAACCTCTCTAAATTAAACTTAACTGGTTTTTCAGATGCATTATCATTACTCTCCACTTGTACGTTATCAAAGTTGTATAAAAATTCAGCAATGTGACTAAGTTCCTGTTGGGTCATTTTGACTATTTCACTTGGAGTTGTTTCATTTAACAATCTAATTATCATAACATAAAGCCACCTGAAAAATGCTTTGTAGTTACGCATAGAAACATCAATTACTTGTTGCAATTCTAAACATTTGTTCAAAAAAGCACAGCAGGCTTTTATTGCTTCTGTCACAGCACTTTCTTCTAAACCCAAAATCTAAAATACAAAGATAATATATTTTACATATGTTACGATTAAATTAACAAAAAAAGTAGAAATTAAAGTTAACATTACCTTGTATCTATCTGGTATTCTTGTAAGTCCTCTAATTTCAGATAGATAAAAAGTTAAACTTTGTCCAACCACATTTAATTGCCTCAACACTAGTTTCTGTATTGTTGAGTAACTCAATTCTACAGAATTACCAGATTTCTTCAGTACCTTGGCTGTTAGTTCTCGGAGTAGAAACAGTTCTAATTCGTCTGATGGCACACCTAAAATAAAGGTAATATATTTAAATTACATGCATGAAACTTACTAATTATTCTAAAAATGTTCTGTACCCTATGACAATTTTGGTAAAATACAAAACAAGGTAAAATTATAATTTTTCCCTTATACAGTATAGGGGAAAAACAATATATATACCTTTCTAAAGATTATCAAAACCAAACCAGCTGAAATTTGACAGAAATTTTGTTCACTTTTTTTTTAATGAATATATTTTTATTTCATACACATAGTATTAGAAACAGTATTTTTAAAAACTAATATTAATAACAGATATATAGCAGGAGCCAGACAGCTTTTAGCTTAACATAGCTTCAGTAGATACTAAGCCATGGTGAAGTTATGTGATTAAAGTTTGTAATAATTACTCATTATCAAAACAACATTCAACTCAAAGACCAAAGAAAGTAACTGATATGGAAGGGGAGAAAGGGATTGTTAGTAATGGGGTCAAATAGCCCCATTACTAGCAATATACCCTGTCAGGTCGACCTCCACACATGGTTCGCCTTAAAAACCATTGTGGCTAATTCTAGTAGAATTTGTCAGGATGGGCTAACTGACTGCTTTCATCCTCATTAGTCATCTAACACTGGTGCCCCACCATTGTATACTGAAAGCGCAGACGGGGTTACCATACCATTATCACCCATAAAAAAAAACTGATATGGAAGTAACATATTTGAGGGGCAAATTTGCACAGGCAAAAACAGTAAAGGACAATATTACTAGAGTGAGCAACAACTTCACATTATGTTGCAGTGAGTAAATGGATATAGGTGCAATAAAGATAATGAATGCCTTATCCTTATAAACTTATATCAACAATGAAGCTGAAACAAGGATACTGTTGGACACAAATCTCTTCTCTAGTAAGCCCACTACCATAGTTCTGTCCAGACAGCTTTTTATAGCTTGTTTAACATTGATGTATTTGTCATTTGTTCTCTTAATCAAATCTTAAGGGATCCTTAAGACTAAAAAGAGTGGTGACATATAGTATTCTTAATACAACATACCTAGTTATAATATGATTTAAACATTCTTTGATGACTAACCTAACATAAGCAGCTCTAGTAAGTCAGCTGAAACTCCACCTTCAGGAACTGATGCTGCATAATAGGCCATTTTTGTATCCATTTCTAACAGTATATGTTCCCAAGCTTCAGTTATGGAAATCATAGTCTGATCAAGATATGATATCAACTCTGCAATATGCCCATGTTTATTAGCGACATGACACATTTCCTCAGCAAATGCTGATAACACACTTGTGTTGATTATGGAAAGAAGTACAGCATTCGTAGTTCTGTCTAAGTATATTACTTGCATTGCACTGAAGTCATCTGATAAGCAAATATCTAGCACTTTGAATTCTCCGCATTCATCTTTAGTAAGTTGAGCTAAATTCAAAATTCCATATGGATATTTCCCAAATATACTCATATAAATGGTGCCTGTGCCATACCCTACCATTAACATACTCAATTGGGTTTGGTCTTGTACTGCTTCTTTAAAATCACTAACAGTATCATCAGTTCCTGGACTTTTATATCCACTGCTAAGAGAAGGTAGCCTTTGTAGATATATAGAAGCATCATCCTAGAAAGGAATGTTCTTTTATTTATTACTGTAAAAACAAGACAGCCTAGTTCTTTCCTGACTGATACCATTCCATCCATCCCATCTCACATAATAAATGTGTACCATAAAAAACTTACATAAATATTATAGGTAGACGAACTTTCCAAACTGCCAGTGCGAGCAGCCCAAGTGATACATGTGATACCACTGTATTTAGAATCGTCAAATTCTTCTGAAATCCCATGTTCTAATTCATATTTATCAAGTACTTCTTTATCTTCAATATCTACAATATGGACACTTCCTGAACTGTAGCCAATGGCTAAAACCTGAAAAATGTTTAGGATGATCTAAATTAATAATTTATTTACAAGATCTAAGTAAAACTTTGTGTGGTGTTTAATTGTTATGACATCCTGTATAATTTTAAATAATTAATATTATTTATGTTTATTATATGTCATAATACCTAACATAATTAATAATTACTTTTCCATCAGGTCTCCAAGCCATGGCTTGAACAGTGATATTTTCTTTTGGTGGGGACAAATTCCATACTTTCTGCCAATGAAGCCTGTGCACTTGGACTTCACCTAAAAGGAATATTTATTTAAAATTTTATCTGTCTTAGTAGTTGTATAAAATATTTAACTATTTATTTGTAGTATTACCATTTGCATTTGCAGTAGCACCAGAAAAGTTAAAAATGTACTATTACATACTTGTAACTTATTCCGTTTAATATCAAAAACAATAAAGTTAATTTCAAAATGTTTAAGTGTTGAATAATTTATATTACCTTTTACCATATAAACGATTGTATTGTATTACAGTACATTTTCTCAAAATATTCATGATTTACGCTGAATTATACCTCCTAAAAGTAAGTTTTATATTAAGTGACTCTAAATCGCAAATTGCATACTATCAAAATACTATTTTTATGGAGTTGAAATTTTTTTTATAAATTAAAATTATAAGATGGACATAATAAATTTTATTCAAACAAAAAAGAGGGTACATGATTCATCCCTCCCTTCTTTGATTTAGTGTTACAAAATAAAAGTGGATCTGTAAAAGCAAATTTACCTTTGAAATTGCTCAAAGCCAATAAATCAAGCCTATTACTCCACACCATGAGATCCACTTGATTCGCAACATGTCTCTCTCCTACTTGTCGCATACCACAGTGATACATCTCTGAAACCTAAATAATAACAGAATTTATTTAACAATTAATCAAGAAAACCGAATACGAACAATAAATATTTGAATGCTTTATATTATAATTGTAATAGCCTTGTGTAACTTCCATACTAGCTTTAAATGTATGGATTTGGTTAGAAAACATTATGCCAACATTTAGTTAAATGATGAATCTACAATAGCCACTATTGTGGGAATTACGACTAAATATAATTAAAATTAAATCTATTACAAGGTTTACTCTAGAAATTGACCAGTTACAGTCTAGATATTACGGGAAGTGTCGAAAACTTGTGTTTACTGCCAATAATATTACGAAATTGAAATCTCAGGGTAATATTATTATGTTATCTTTTGTTTTATTTTGCTAAAAAAATGTTTATCGGAACGTGCAATTTGACATAAAATTTACATATTTCTTTTGTCGTGATAAAAGAAATATGTAAATTTGATTTGCGTTTCAGTGAGAAATATTTCATTTTATTAATATCGAAAAAAGATTTAACTATAATATCATTATAACTCTATTTGTTTCCATATTAAACATCAGGCTGGCCAACAATGAGAAAACGAAGATTTTTCTGTGTAGTTTGGTGAAATATTCCTGACCAAGTCGTTTTGCATGGCTTGTATAAAGTGCGTTCTCTTTGCCCTTGATTATATACTCTTGTTGTATCTGCAAGTAATCAATTCCTACGTTATAAAAGATAGCACTGACCAATTGATTTATATAAATAAACGCAACCTGTAAATGGAAATAATATGCAATTAGAAATTGATTTATAAGTAATGATATGTTATAAAGATAGATAATACATAAAATTATGTATGAATAATTATTTACTATATTTGTAATATGCAATTTACTGTTAACATGTTACCTTTTAAAATAAAAATAATTTTAGTCATATTATATTTATAAGTAATTGTAATAAAGTTAAAATAGGGCTGTTTTTCTTATATGCATGCGGTATATTTTGTATACTTAACATTTTTTTTTTCAGATGCAATTTGACCCGGCAATGCTTCCAATTATTTTTTAATGTGCCAAAGAAAATTTGCATTGGATAGATTTAAAATTATATTAAAGTAACTATACTCTACTCTCTACTAGATACTCTTTTTATTGAGCCTGTTTTTTCGTAAAATTTGAAAATTTTATATTATGAAATCGATAAGGTTATTTTATGGCAACAAGATATCAACATATAGTATGGAGGTGTTTATTAGAATAGTAGTACAACATTATGGATATTCATTATTTTGAATACACTATCGGGACTTAATGCGATAAAAAAACCTTTATAAGTAAATGGTGCTTACGTACCTGTTTCTCTATTACCGTATTAAGTCCGATAATGTATTTAAGATATGAATAAACAACACGAAAATTTAAAATAAATTTTCATTATGTAGTTACTTCGAAAAGGTAACATGTATTTCAATTTTTAGGTTCCGTTGATATAAGCTCAGTACCAAGTCTTATAACGTAGTTATCATTTGTCTTTTTTCTGGTTTAACAAACAAAAATCATTAAGTATAATGATAAATTTAATAAGAACGAAACAATGATTCAGAAGACATAATAATTAGTGGACTTGTGAAACTAGTTCTTTTTTTTTCTTATAAATCTTCCTTTAAAGTAAATATTTTATTTAGGTATGTTTTTGTTCTTAATTTAGATGCTAAGTATTTTTTATAAAAGTGTTTAATTGATTGAATATAGAATGAAAGAATGTTAGTTAGTAACTTATACTTCTTGTATGTATTTATTATTCACGCTTACCAACTGAATAAACCTTAACAATGTCTTTAAATTTAAATTCGACCCAAAATTCAATACGAGAATTGTATATAATTTCATTAAAACAGCAATTAAGTGAATATGAGCTGTTGAAATCTATGTATCCTAATAATGATGACATTAAACTTACTGATAACAATATTCTCAAGGATATAAATAGTTTTTTAGAAAATAAATTAGAATATGCACCTCCTCATTTGGATTTTACTTTGAATCTTCTGTTGAATAATTTGAAATTAGAAATGTGCATAAATTTGCCAAGTTTATACCCTGAAGAAGAACCTGATATATATATAAGATGCAATCAGTTGAATCGTCACCAGGAAACAAATTTAAATTTTAAACTTATGGACTATATAAAAAATAATCATTCAGGAGAAGTATGTTTGTATACTGCAATAACTTGGTTACAAGAGAATATTGAAACATTTTGTGATAAAAAAGAAACTGAGACTGATGATAGTAGTATACAGGAATTAAAAAGTGTACAGCAGAAATTTATTAGACAATGGATATATTCCCATCACATTTACAATAAAAAGAAAAGGGAAGAAATAATAAAAAAAGGCCAGAGAATTAAAATTGACTGGTTTCTGTGTACCAGGAAAACCAGGGATTATTTGTATTGAAGGATCTGCTGCTGATTGTAAAGAATGGTGGAAAGATATTAAATCAATGAGTTGGAAAAAAATCATGGTAAGAAAAACAGAAACATTTGAATTAAATGAACAAGGAAAAGAGCAGAAATTTAATTCATTTGATGAAATACACTTTAAAAATCCTTCATCGCGGTTTAACAAACATGCAGATTTGAGTGGACTATCAAAATATATGGAACAGTGTGGTCTTAGCCAGGCGTTTCATGATGTTTTTGGACTAAATGGTGATATTTAATAATATATTAGTATATATGTTTATAAATAACTACATCTCTGTTTTATTTCATATTAATATTATATTTTTGAAAAGATAATGTTGTATTAGTTTGGCCATTTGGAGAGGATGGATGGAAGAAGGGATATAGATGAGATTTATCGAGCATGAATGAATGAGATGTTGGAGAGGCCGGCCTAGAGAGATATATGTTGACAAAATCTGCAACGTGTTGATGAAGGGCGAAATTAAAAGTAGCTAGCTTATATCAATATACTGATAAATGTAGGTGACGCAAAAAAGGCTGCTTGAATTGAAACATTTGTCATTCCATTATTTCTGCCTACCCAAATAGACAGATATGTATATATGACTGTATCTTAAATGTGTATATTCTTATTAAGTTTATGTCCAAAATAAAACTGAAAGGACTAATGTTTTCCATTATTTATATCTTTCTTTGAAAATTAAAGAACTAGGTTAGAGAAATAGCATCTCAGAATCGACCTCATGATTCTGAGATGCTATTTCTCTAACTAACCTAATATTTTAATTCCAAAATCCCTCAAATTATAATTATTTGACTTAAATCTATTACAAATTAGTTCACATTGGTAGAAACCAAAATGAATTGTAAAAGCGATAAAAATTCTGTGATATCAAATTAAAATTTTTTTAGTTTAGAGTATATTCTTAGGTTTAAAGAAATGGCACCAAAATAGATCTCAATTATAATTGAAGATCTCAATATAGACTGTAACAAATATGATACAATATATAAACCTATTTTTTTATATATAATGTTGAAGGATTTTGGGACTATTTGTCGACAATCGTCATTCATCTGTTAGCAATGTATAGGCAACTATCCGAAATTTTATTAACTATCTGGCTATTCATCATTTAAAAGCCGGCTAAATTTCCAGCTATTTGGTTACCCAATAGCGTTACGCTTAGTGTTAGCTATTTCGTTAAATATTAGCATACAACCTATTAGCATTACATCGAGTTCGATTCTCTACGCAGTAACATATAAGTTAAATGGTGCGATTTTGCTTTATTTACCGAACTACTATGTAGTCATTATTATCTTAAGTATATCTATTAGTAAAATAATCTCTTAATCATGTCTTAATTTTGTCCGTAGTAGTCTCGCCTATGGTATTAAGTCAGTTAAGAAGCTTTTGTTACATAGATCATAATCTAATGGTTCAACTCAAAGTTTAAATTCGTAGATCATTGCTAATATACTGTAATATCCATTAATGATATTGCTATTGAGGGAATTAAGTTTTTTTTTTTTTTATTAATAAATATACCTTTTTTTATAACACAGGGGGCAAACGAGCATACTGCTCACCTGATGGTAAATGACTACCGTCAGCTATAAGCATTCTGGGCATCAAAGGCGTTGTAGATGTGCTGCCTGCCTTTTAAAAAGGAATATGCTCTTTTCTTGAAAGTTACGATGTCGTATTATAAATTCCTATATTAGGAATTTTATATTAATAATAACTACAAATTGGTTTATAAAAATTAAGCATATAAAAAAAGTCGCAATATAGGATCGTCTTATTTGTTACTGCAATGAGGATCGAACTCGATGCAATGCAGCCGGGCAGTTTTTAACTAATAAATTATCTACTATTATACGATATCATTTTGAACAGTTTTTTTTTTTTATGAGTGAAGATGGAATGTTAACCCCGCCTGCGCTATTGGTATACGCTGCCGGAGCACCAGTGAAGGGTAAGGGTAAGGTGAGGATGATAGCAGGTCAGTTGGCCTATAGTGACCAATTAAACAACAATTAACCAGTATGATTTCCAGGGGGAACCGCGTGGAGGTCGACCTGATAGCATGTATTGCTAGCAATGAGGTTGTTAAATCTCATTACTAACAATCCCTTTCCCCGTCATTTCAGACAGTTACCGCCAGTTACGACAGCTGGCGCAGTTTTTAATAGCCAATAGTCACGGTAAATATCGTAGCTGGATTGTAAATGTAGTTGCTTGTTGTCGGTTAGTTGTTGCTGCATTATAATGTACCGGGCGCTCGAAGACAACTAACGAGTAGCTGGCTCCGTCGAAAATAGTTAACTTAGGTGCGGCTATTCTTTGCCCAGTCCAGCTGTCATATAGCTGGGTATCGGTATAACTACACATCTCTATCACCTGTCGAGTACTAACTCGACACAATCTTTTTTTTTATATCTACGGTCTGTTTTGCAGGAATTTTAAACCATGCCATAATTTTAATAAGTTTCATTAGATAACAGTGAAGTTAATTCGATATAGATATATATTGGGTACCACCTGGAACGACCGCCTTTCGAAGGTCCTTTGAGTTCTAGCCACAGACAGATTAGAGAGCATAGTGAATGAGTTGGCGCTATAGATATTTAATGATTGGCGCAATTGTACGGCGTAACGCAGCGTTACCTATGTAATATAATAACCGCATCAGATTAAAAATAACTTTTGAATGGGCAGAAACAAAAAAATTAAATTATATCATCGTTTATCAAATTTAACACAATTTTTTAATTTTATTCTTATTTCAACCTTCTACCAAAGTCTTCTATATTACGTACGTATTAAGTAACATTCTGAATCCCAGCGATATTTTTGACATTGTTACTCTATATCGTCAATACCTAAATTCAAAATAAGTATTTTTTTGTCTTTTTCTATATGTCATAACATTTCGGATTAAATTAAGTATTTTAGATGTCAATTTAGTATTTTAGAACATTTTTTTTTAAATATATATATATATATATATATATATATATATATATATATATATATATATATATATATATATATATATATATATATATATATATATATATATATATATATTTTTTTTGTTGACATGAATCAATTCGAATATACTTTTTGTGCGTATATTATACAATATCTTTGCTAATTGTGAGCCAATTTTATTAATCTCTTTTCTTATTCTTTTGTATTTGTCGTATTATTTTTATTTCGGTTTAAGGGTGGGACATTACATTGAAATTTTTTTCAGAGAAATCTAAGATAAGTTACCCCTTTATTAAATCGTTTTAAACAGGAGGAGAGTGAGAGAGATCCAAGTTTTCTCTCTGGATCCAATGGTTTAATTGACGACTCCCCTAATGAAAGCGGTAACCATAACCTGTAGAAGATTCTAGATATGAACTATGGTACTATGTACTTAACAGAGTAGGCAATGACTTGACTGTACTGACTAGACTTCTATACATCGTCATAGTCATAAAATACTGACGCATCTGACAAATATTATACTTTGCAGCTATTTCAAAAAACAGTGTTAGTTTTTTTGACATAACTTTTTTAATTCTAAATGTGTTATTATGAAAATTGGCATACAATTTTAAAATAGGGGGGGGGGGAAGGGATTGTAAGTAATGGAGACTAAGAATCCCATTTCTAGCAATATATCCACCAGGTCGACATCCTCGCGGTTCCCCCTGGAAACTATCATGATTAATTCCTGATGTATTCATCATGATGGGCTAACTGGCCTGTTTTTAAGCTATTGTATAGCTTTTATCGCGGGCCTTGAGCGCGAAGACCGAATGTAAAAATTCCGTAACGGAAATGGAACCTAACACCCCCCACTCTTACGGCGGCAGAGCGGTGCGAGGACGGAAGCCGTGCATCGTCTAACGTCATTTCAGTTCGGCAGACTTCGGCACGGTATTTGTGTGCGTGCGAGTAGACGTATGCGTGTAGACTAGCCGCTGACTGCTCATAACTGATTCTATCTCTTTTATTAGATACAATGCTAGGTGAGACAGCGTGCTTTTTGCGAGCTGTTCCGGAATTGGACGAATACGTAAGCAGCTATTGTGAGAATGTATATAGGTGTATAGGTATCTATCATCTATGTCCAACAGTGAATAGCTGTACGCGTAAAATTTGTGTATAAAGTGTTTTAATATTAAATATATATATATATATATATATATATATATATATATATATATATATATATATATATATATATATATATATATATATATATATATATATATATATCATAAATCAGTGTTTTTGTTTTTGAATTTATATAGGTATAATACTGCTATAAAAATACATAACCTTAATTTTGGATTTTGAAATGAGCGATTTTAAAAGTAGCCCTCTTTTATACACATAAACATACACCCATATACTTTAAATTTTCAATTTCGATTCTATATGTATATATATATATATATATATATATATATATATATATATATTATATTATATATATATATATTATATTACAATATAATACCATTGCATGTGTAAAAAAAATGTATATATATATATATATAATATATTATATATATATATATATAATATATAGATAAGTATGTATATAATAGAAACCATTAAACCAAAAATAAATAAATAATTATAAAATTGCATAAGTTGATAAAAAATGCTATACAATAGCTTTACCGCGGCAGTCCCCGACTGCCACACGTCTTTTTTTTTTCCTCATCGATCACCCTTCACTGGTGCCTCGCCAGCGTATTCCATTAGCGCAGGCGGGGTTACCACTCCATTTTCATCCAATAAAAAAAAAAACAAATTCAAAATTAGGGATTGTTTTAAACGGAAGTAAAAATAACAACTTATAATTATACGGTTTTCCAGAAAAATCACATGCTTCAATTTACATTGGAGTCAACACAGTCACATAGGATTATCCAACATTGTTCCTTGGAAAGTTTCTTTTCGAAGAATGAGGAATGTTACTTTCCGATTGTGTTCTATCGACTTACTGAGTAATATTTTGACGGATGTGTAATTTATACTATTTTGACCATGAGTAAGTAGGCAGGCAGGTGTTCGGTATGTAAATAGGTAGGTTGGGGTAGGTAAGGTATTTTAAATAAAACAGACTATTTGGTCTGGTTATTGGACTATTTTTAATAAATATAATAAACATTAAGTTTTAATTAAGTAATTATCAATAAAATTATTATTAAGAAGACTATAATGTTGAAGCCTGTTGCTGTTGTGGCCTGATTACTTCTTTTTTGGTAAATAATTAATCTAAAACTTAATCATTAATTATTTAGGAGAATTAGGAAAACTCTAGTATCACAATCATTTTTATTAGTATTTTTTATTTATTTATTTAAAATAAAATTTAAAGTTTTAAGTTATGATTAACGATCGAATACAGAATCGATTAATCATGTAACGATAGAATGTGCATGGTTCTATTCCATGGCATTGTGTTATGATCATATTTATCAGTATTTCACGCAATGATTTCGGAATTGATTTTACATAACAAGTTTAATAAAATTTTCGTCTCCTTTTGGAGATTATATTGCCAGTCTATAGTCTCTAATCTGTGGTTAATGCGATATACTGTCTATGAGAGTAATAGATATTAAAGATGTGCTAAAGGATACATCCAAAGCCGTAAAGCTGTCTAAAAAAAAACAATTATAGAATTTCAGACGAGTTTTTATTGTGATATTAATTTTCAGTAATATTAAAAATATTCTATTATAAATCAACTGGTTAACATTACAAAATAATTATTACAAATGGCTTCTCCTCTGGAACAGTTTGTAAACAATGTTCGAACAATGTCGGCATCAGGTAAATTTTGTTTATTACTATTTGTTTCATTATTTATAAAATGTTTTAAACAATTTTAATTTTATGCATTAATAGGCAGTTTTCGTGAGCTGTGTGACATAATTGGAAAATCTGACGAAGTGTTACAACGAAATAGTGCTCATCTCAATACTGTTTTAGAGACACTTGATATTCAGCAACATTCGTTAGGAGTTCTAGCCGTTTTAGTTGCGAAGTTTTCTCTGCCTCAGGTTAGTAACATAATTAATTAATTATAATTTATTTAAATTTCCTAAGTTCGCTTTTATAAATTACCTTCCTAAATTTATATTGCAGGGTACTAATGATATTGATAAGTCAACAATGTTCCAACAAATTCATGATTTCATAAATAATTGTAATGGAGAACAAGTGCGCTTTTCGCCTGATTTATGTGAGTACAGAAACTTATTAAAATTTTTAATTTTTATGACTACTGATGTCTCAATCAATCTCAATAGTAAATGGCTGTGTAGTCTTGGTATAGAATAGGCCACCCTTTCCTATTCTGTGGGTGTTGTAAGAGACTAGGGAGGGTGAGGTATGGGCAGCAGCATGCCTCTTAAATCATCTTTAAAGCCTAACTGCTGTTGTCGACCTGCCTGGTAAACATGGCAACTACTGGCAAAACTCCCCCAGGGAGAGGATTAGGCTCAGCAGTGGACAGTTAAAAGCCGATATGATGATGTTTATTATGACTGATGTCTTTAAATGTATATTTGTGATTCCAGATGCCAATTTGTGCCACCTTTTGACTGACCATTTAGTTGAAATTAAGCAACCTATTAGAGGAATAGAAATATTGAAAAAAGCTATTAGGAAAATACAGTTGTTTGATTCTCAACTGACATCAATTCATGCAGATCTTTGCCAACTATGTTTACTCTCAAAATGTATGAAGCCATCTCTAGAATTTTTAGATACAGATGTTACAGGAATTGGATCCGAGGTAATTCTTTTAATAATTACAAGAGTCTTCATTCAGAATAATGATTGATATTATCTACTTATGAGAGTTGAAAATGGGCATATTTTTTTATAACAAAAGCATCCATTAGAACTTAGGAAGGCAAATAAGCAGATGGCCTACCTTATAGAAAGTGGTAACCATCACCTATAGACGTGAACAATACCATGGACATAATGGAGTATACTGTATTGCCCATGATACCCCCTATGTATTGCCATTCCTGGAAATTAAGATGTTATGCCTCTGTACCCTGTAAATTCATTGCCATATCCTACCCTTCAAATTCAAACTGAAAAACAGCCACACAAACACACTACTACTATTACAACTTATTAAGCCATGTGCATTGTGCATATAATACTGATGGATATATATATGTAATCTTTGTCAGATCCATCAGTATTCTACGACTATGATGATATATGTGTCATAGATATATTGGTGAGTTAGTATTTGAAGTTGTTAAATGTTGAATATAGTTAATTTGTTGTTCCAGTTAGGTGGCAATAATGATTCAAAACATTTTCTTTTATATTATTACTATGGAGGGATGATTTACACTGCTATGAAGAATTATGACAGGGCTTTATACTTCTTTGAAGTTGTAGTAACTGTTCCAGCTATGGTTGTATCCCACATAATGTTGGAGGCTTACAAAAAGTACATTTTGGTATCTTACATCCTTCATGGAAAGGTAATGTAATAAACAACAGAGGTAATAGATAATTAAGGTTGTCAATATTACCTATACATACAACACTATATCTACACTCAACTGAAAAGTTGAGTGTAGATAGTCAAATGCATAACTATAAAAAATATTTAAACATATTAAAAGGAGTTTGGTACAAGGTATCTTAAAATATTTTTGAAAATGGGATAGAGAACTGGGTATCAAATACATAAAGATCAAAATTTTTAAAATAGTATCAAACGGCAAATAGATTGGCTCTTTTTTAAAAAATGCTTCTATATGTTTACATTATGTAGATAGTTCCAATTTCGTTACACTTTTACCTGGTCTACCTGAATTCTGATTACAATGTGTGATTATTTCTTTTTATTCCTAACTCTTAAAAAAAAAACGAAAGGGTGCACTAGACCAGTGTATATACACAATAAACAAGTGTAAGAGAAGGAAAACTCGAAAAAAAACTTTATAATAAGCTACTTAGTAAGAGTAGTAATAATAGGCTAATTGGGTTAATAAATAAGTAAATTTATATATATTATACTAATATATTTGATTATAACATACACTTTCAGATTTTACCAATGCCTAAATATGTGTCGCAAGTAGTGTGTAGATTTCTAAAACCACTATCTGTTGCTTATCATGAACTGGCTACGTCTCAGCATGCGGCTATAAAACATAGGGAGACTTTCGTCCGAGACAAAAATATGGGATTGGTTAATCAGGTAAGTGATGAAACTGATAATAACCATCTACACTATTATTGTACAAAGTAAAGATTTGTATGTATGTATGTAATGAATAAACTCAAAAACTACTAGACTGATTTAAAAAATTCTTTCACCATTAGAATGCTACATTATCCCTGATTAACATAGGCTAAGGAATATTTTGATATTTTTATAATACATAGGGATCCATATGAAAATTTCGATAATGTAATTCAAGGTGTGAAAAAGATACCAAAAAGTTCTTATACCGCGTACGCTGCTGAAATTATTGACATTAGAGCTAAGTGATGTACCTGCAGTTTTATAGTGGATATCAATATTTACAAAATAAGTCCGCGATACCATGTCAATTACAGTTACGTTACAATAACTACTTTTTCATGTTAAAATATGCAATATGCCGGTACAAACTAAGCTACATTATTCATACCTTGGTATTAATCCTTATCCAAAAAAATAATTTCGTATTCAGGACTGTTTCAATGCCTGTAGATTACGCTTTGAATTAATGAAATCGGACATTCTAATTCAAAGATATTACAGATTTTGTTCTGTGTTTCAATTCGTTGCTTGCGACACCAGCTATGGCCATGGCGCGTGGCAGAACTACACAAAGCTTTCCTGTCTTATTTTAATTTTATTTCAAATGTCCACCCGTGCTGAGCCGGGGCAGGCCGCTAATTAATAATAAATATTGTAATATAATAAATATTATAATAGAAACGTGTCGCAAAATGTGCTTGAATAAAATGGCAGACGGAGATGGACATAACAGAATGTTTCGCCCATGATACCCCCCATGCGCTTATATGCAAACACAAATATGGAATTTCTGTAAAAAAAATAGTAAAATGGCAGTCGGAGATTAATGGCTTATATGAATATGGAATTTCTGTTAGTAATAGAAATGGTCAACCTTTGAATGTTGGAAGTCATACACAAACTAATGGTAGTGCAATTAAATAATTTTAATCAAATAGCCAATAATATTAGGTATAACATATTACAAAAAAAATACTGTGTTGTCACTCATAATCAAATGTCGATTGATATATACTGTCATAGAATATTCCCCCAGGAATTATATTTAGAGCTCTTAATTTTATCAATTTCAAATGTATTTCTACGGGATCTATTGTTGTATTTTATGTTGATAATAAAGTAAATAATAATTAATGAAATATTCTTTGTTTTCAAATCTCTTTGATCGAAAAAATAAAGATTTTCAAGATTAACATTTTTTTTTTCATTGAAAAAATTGAAAAATTGCTCATAATGATGATTGTTGCAAAAACAAAATTTGAAGCTTCAAGGCACTATGAAAAAAAAAATCGCAGCACTTTGAATTTTTCAGGGATTTTAGGAGGGGACACTGAGGTTGAAAAATTACTGAATAAAATTCTTCGTTCATCCATTTTATCCAAAGTTATACCAAGTTATTGAAGTATCCTTAATTATGCGAATTTTTGTCTTTTTTTAAAGTCAGAGTTTTCAATTAAAAAAAAAAAATTTCGACAAAAGCCATTCACGGTATCTTATAGAGAATATCGTGCTTTCCAAAACCCTCCCTCGATCTCCTATACGATCATTATTTCCAGAATTATTGATTGTCAAAGTTAAAAAGTACATTTTTGCTTTGACTAACGATAACTCGGCGGCAAATCATCGTACAGGCTTTTTGATTATGTCAAATTAAAGAGTATGAAATTAATGAAGAAACAATGAAAAAAAATTTTAAGGCCGTATATTTTATATTATTTTGTATATTATATATATATATATATATATATATATATATATATATATATATATATATATATATATATATATATATATATATATATATATATAAGAATTACAAATAAATAGATTTTTGTATTGTGATATTAATGGAAATGTATTTTTTGCTTAGGTGTTGGGTTCCATGTATAAAAAGAATATTCAGCGGCTTACCAAGACATTTTTGACTCTTTCACTGAGTGATGTTGCATCTCGAGTACAACTCTCAGGTCCGGCACAAGCAGAATCCTACATCCTCAACATGGTATGATGATAAATAATGAAATTTAAAACCTGTACAGAAGAGGGACTTCTTTAATGAAATAAAAAATCTTTAATTGTCTGCCTTGGACTTTCCACACACTTGTGTACATTATAGACAAAAAAAATATGCTCATGATTTTCTCTCATCTGTGCAGCCCCTAAAAATAAAGTAGAATTAATTTGTATTAAATTTTGAGCTTGGTTATTAATATTGTATAGGTATATTTACTTTAATGCTAATAAAAAAAAAAAGATTAATAAAGAAATTAAAAAGACAGTATTGAGATGCTCTAAATCGAAAATATATATTTTCCCCCCAATAAGGGAGGCCTACGTTTAGTAGTGGACAGTAAGTAACGGCTGCTATGATGATTATGATATATAAGCAAAGAAGCATTGAAGACAAAAACTTTGTTGTATTTTATGATAATGATAGTTTACCAAGTTTTAATTATTAGTATCAACTAGTTATTGCCTTAAGAGCTAGTACAGCCAAGAACAGAAGCTAGTTAAAAATATAGTCTGACTGTTCGACCTAACACTAACAATTTCAATGCGTGCTAAGGCGCACAGTTAGGCTCGCACTCTCGTTATGCCTGTTTATGATTAAGGGTCCCAAAGGGTCTCTAAACTAATCGAGCATTCTCACCTAAAAACACGTAAGTTAATCCGATTAGTTTTACAGTTAAAATTTCAATGTAATTTAACATTTAATTCAAATGATAAGGTACAATTTCCTCTATGGCAAAATTAAAACATTAAGTCAGTTTGCAAATCATGCGATGTTTGATGCAGGGTCGTTGTTGCAACTCAGTATGCGAATGGAGCTTTTAACTATGCGCAAATACATATAGTAAATGAATTTAAAAACAATATTTTTTTTTAGTTTTATTCCTGTTACTATATCTCATTATTTTTTAACTGTGAATGCAATTATTATTTCTAAAAAGAGAATGTTACTTTTTACAAAGAAATAATTTAATATTTAAAATTATGATAAACATTAAAAGCTAATTTTAGTCTTATTATGTATAAATTTATTTATGTTTACTAGATTGAAGAGGGCGAAATATATGCAATGATTAATCAAAAGGATGGCATGGTAGTATTTCTTGATAGTCCTGAAAAGTATGCCTCTCCTGAGACATTATGTGTATTGGAACAGCAAATGGCAGCCTGTACAAAACTTCATCAGTACATTCAGGAGATGGATGAGCAAATCCAAGTTAATCCACAGGTGAGAATATGAATTTGTTAAAGTTCAGTTATTACTTGAATAAACAATTTGTGAATATAGGTAATTTTTATATCACTGAAGTGGCAAACAAGTATACGACCTATTTTATGGTAAGTGGTTACTCATAGCCTATGTACGCCTGTAATACCAGGGGTATAACACCCGCGTTGCCGACCCTTAAGGTAACTAGGTTACTTACGCAAATTTGTAATATGGGTATATATATATTTGATGTATTGAACCTTGAAAATCTAGATAACTTATAATATAAAAAATATAATTTAACATTTTATAATTTTCTATTATGATTAGATATATATAGTTATATTTTATTCTTTCAGTATGTAAAGAAATCTGTTGGAAGTCATGATGAAGACATACCAGCGACAAGTCAGAATTCTAAAACAACATATTCAATGTAATTTGTCTTCACATTACTATATAAAAATATATAAAGTATTTTTAAGATTTCATAACCTAATAAATATTGTACATAAATGAAAATTCTTGTTTCACTAGATGCTTTCTTTCCAATAAATCTTTTTATTACCCAAATAATTAATATACTTCAACATGATAAACAATATGTAAATATAAAACAAATATTTTATCAGTCTTTTATATAGCTTCATGTACAGCCTCAGTGAAAGCGGTCATGCTTTCTAAAGGAGTTTGTGGAGTGATGCCATGGCCTAAGTTGGCTATATATCTGTATTTTCCAAACTTCCGAACCATGTCTACTGTTAGTTTTTTTATTTCTTCCTGAAAATAGAACAGATAAACATTCTTATATCATTCTTTGCTGATACTGGTTAAAAAAGTTCCCATCCTTAATTGTGCATGTAAAAATTCGAAATTGGAATGGTAACTTTCTTGAACAATGATATAGTCACTTTGCATTCTATAATTTATTCAACTCAGTACTAGGCTACTAGAATTGTTTAGATTTCATCGATATAGCAAGGACTAAAGTAGCCAAATATTATATGCATGCTAAATTTCCTAACTGACTTGTTAAGGTATGCTTATTAAGGTTGCTTTATGTATGTAACCATCTTAGTTGTGATTTGTCAGCTCTTGGCTAATTTACTTACTGGAGTTTTATAGAGGTCTTGAGGATCGAGATTGCCTTGCAGAGTAATATTTTCGCCGACTATCTTTCTTGCTTCAATTGGATCCACTGTCCAATCTAATCCAAGAGTTTCATATCCAAATTGAGCCTGTGTATCCAAGGAATGCCCGGCGCCTTTGGCAAAAAGTGTCTGTAATTATAATGGTTAATAATATTAATAATTATTATATATTACATAATCTTTTTTAACATAAAATGCAGTCTAAATTACTTGTAAATAATGTAGTTTTCTATGAGGAAAGTAATTTTAAAAATGCTTAAGAAATTTTCAAGTTAATACATTACATATAAATATAGAAAAAAATTATAAATTTTTCCTTCTTATATTATTTAGAGTGCAGTTTTGATAGTGTTATTTTTGTTTCTGTAAAAGGAAGGTAGAATGAGTGAACTACTAGTAATATTAAACAGAGATAGCAAAAAATTGGGAAAACTATAGTTACAGAAACACTAAACTGTAGTAATAATTTCCATTTGATCTCAATAAAATAATACTGCATCCTATGTAGGTCATAGGAAAGTATTTATAACGATCCTAAAAATAATATCATACCATCGGAACTTGTGGCAATTTCTTCTCATTGAGTTTAGTTCTAACTCCATCCCTGATATTTTTTAAGTAAGTTGCTGCTACTTCTGCAAACTGGTCCCGTGTAAGATGATCTGCGCTGGATTCAAATACTTGCAGTAACTGTGCACCACTGTCAACCTATTTTTCAAACTGACACATTCATTTTGATATAAAAAGGGTTTAATAAAATTGATTTTTCCTTGTATATATAATAAAAGATCTCTCAGAGGAATTTTAATTAATGTAAGCAGCAGATATCTACAATATTTTACTGCATTTGAATTCTAGGATGAACATAAAATATCTTAAATAAATTATCCTAATAATTTTATTTTAATTTCAGGGTCAATAGCTTGATTACCATTACCAGTTATAATTATCAATTATACAGTTACCAGTATAAATTGAAGGGTTTTATAGTATTAGTGTAAAGTCATCAACATTGTAACTAATTTACCTGCATTACTAAATAGTCTATTATTACTCGTGTCAAAAGACCCAATAGTTTATGTACATCTTTTGGATATTTTTCTAACCATTCTTTTGTTTTAGACATAGTTTTGCTTCCACCACCTTCAATCATATATCCCATAAGTGTGAACTGCAAAAAAAAAAAAAAAAAATACAACAACTTTTAAGATAAAACTATTCTGGCAGTTTTCTCAAGTAATAGCACAAATATTCTAAAAATATTTATGATTTTTTTAAAATAGTAGGACATGTGACTTATGGTATCCTGAGTAAACTCAGAATAACTATATAATATTTATTATTAATATAATATTGTTTATTTATCTATTAAAATAAGAAATATAGGAATTATACAGCTAACATCATAAAATTTTCTTTTAACAGCTAGATAGTATAATTTACTTTAAGGAGACTTTTAGAGAGTAATATTATACACTTAGTATAAAAATGTAGATGCGTTTTTATACTAGGTGTATCATAGTTTCCCATTTGTTTTATATTAATAGATAAAATATCTCATATGGTTTTATAATTTAAGGGAAATGAGTGGTAACTGTTTGGATGCATGTATTAGTGTCAATTACTAAGGCATAAAATATAATTTGCATTTATATCTATATATATATATATAAAAATTAATGCCACTTTTCCTTGTAATTTTATAGCTCAAGAACGGGCTCATTTATCCAAACCAAATGTTTAGGCATTGTTCGGACTATTTAGTAGATGGTTTATATGAAGTTTGCACAAAATCAGTTGAGGGGTTCTTCATTTATCACATTTTTTGTAACAAATTAATTCAATAAATGGCGGATCATTTTGTTAATGAGGATTTTTGTGTCAAATTCAAACTTGACAGTACAATTAAAATAGCTAGCAATTAATAAAATATTTTTTGTTTGAATAAATTAATTTGATGTTAATTTTTTTTTATTATTTCACTTTATGTGTAATGAAGCACATCCCGGGCCGCTAGTACAGTATAAGTGAAGTTAAAAGGTTTACTTACAGGAGCACCAGTAAAACCTATTAAGGGTACTTTGCCTTCAATTTTATGCCTAGTCAGATTGATAGCATCCCCAACATATAGCAATCTGGATACTGCCCCTTCTTCCTGTAACTGATCTATTTCTGAGGGATCATTTAGTGGTTTGGGGAATACTGGACCCTGAAATGATTATGTTTATTATTATTTTCTTAATTTTAAACCTGATACCTGTTAGTACCAGCAGAAAGGGTCACATTTACAGAGTGAATCAATTTTTAAGCATCTGTATCATCAATGTACTGTATATTTATAATTGAACTAAGTGTTTGTTTTATTCAATTTTTAAGTATATTATTGTAAAAACATTTATATTTTTTACAATAATATACTTAAAAAAGCAATAAATCATTTGTAGATATATAGATATCTACAAATGGTTTATTGTTTTTTTTTTTGTAGACAAAATTGAGGAATCTCATTTTAGAATTTACAGGAAAAAAAAAACTTTTTTTAAATTTATGTATATTAATATTACTTACTACACCAGTATGCATTTCAACAGTCATGCCTAAAGCCTGTGGAATCACAAGAATGTCACTGAATATAATGGATGCATCCAGGTCTTTATATCTTCTTAATGGCTGCAATGTCACCTCACATGCTAATTCAGGTGTTCTACACACAGTGAAAAAGTCATGTTTAGCTCGAACTTCTTGGAACTCAGGAAGGTATCTGCCGGCTTGTCGCATTACCCAAACAGGAATTTTGTCGACTTCTTTACCTAGTGCTGCCCGCAATAGCCTATCATTTTTTAATTCTGGAAAATTCTGGAAATATAATTGTGAATTATATCATTTATTTAGATGTGTTTTAATAAAATTAAATCAGGACAATTTGTTAAAGAAAAATATTATTGATAATAAAATAAGAAATTTATCACTACTTATACTATTATTAGGTAGTTGTAGTCAGTTTGCTGTCAATAGTGGAAAGATGCTGATACTGGGGGAATCGTAGAATTATGATCAAATAGATCGTTTACTATTTGAGAGCGTAAAATCGACCGGTTTAGGAACTCGGCTATTTTTTACGATCTAAGCCTAATCGGCTTAGATCGTAAAAAATAGCATAATGATAAGTAAGAACGGTTTTACGTGAATGATAAAAGTAATTGTTACTACAAAAGAATTTTACCTTGTTCGTGAAGTTCATTTTGCCACTATTATTTTGTTATTTCAGTAATAGTATAGTAATATAGTATAGTATTATTATTATTATTCCTATTTCAGTAATAGGAATTATTTATCTCTCAGTTACTAAATTTATATATTACTGAAGTTAAAATAAAAAAATGGTTTCAATATTTATATCAACTATAGGTGCTATGATATTAATTGTCAAACATTTCACAATATCAATCAAAGTAGGTATTGGGGCTATCAGAATCGAGGAACTATTTCTCAATCAAAAGTATTTGACTTTAATTTTGTGAAATTAGCGTTTAGTTAATCATTAAAAAGTTAATTTATAATAATTTTTACTTAAGTATATGAAAATTTTAGTTCTTATTGGTCCTTAGAATAAAGATTTAACAATTAAATTTTAATTTGAGACATAGTTTAAAAAAAATTGTGCTTTAGAATCGACTCCACTGTCACTATGACGGTCTCCAAATGGAAGTCAATTGTCGGGCGAAAATAAAAAATTGTGCAACGTCAAAGCATTTGCAAATTTTTTATATTCTGTTTGTGATGCCTCTGTTGAACAATTTAAGAACTAAAACTACTATTATCAATTAGTTCTGTCTTTTGTCACTAGATTGCACAGGGCGTAGAACCTTAGCGTAAAAGTTGTTTGTCGAAAACTCTTTGATCTTATTCAAAAGACTAAGAAGTATTTCAAGCAAGATACCTTATTTATTAAGCATACTTTATAGACGTAGTATAACGTAATTACGTAAGCCTTCATATACTGGTATATTTTATTCACTAATACCAATTTTTTATCGCGACTTCGTGTGACTGGAATATGTTAGTTAACCGAGATAATAACTAACTAGTCTATGTCCTCCATCACAAAAATTATACATAAATAACGATTCGTTTAGCAGCTAAGAAATTAAAGTATTACAAATAAACGAACAGACAAATTCACTATCTCATTTATAATATTAGTAGTGGTTTAAGTATTATAAATATTTGAAATGAGTTTATTTTTTTATTATATCTTTAATCATTATAAAAATTGGCGTTGTGCCTATTTCACGTGGAGGATATAAGCAATCAACTGGCTATATTTTTGTAGTATGATTATTTGAAATATAAGTATTCTTTGGATGCGCTGTTATCATTTACATTCTTTTGCATTAGGTATTTTAAATACATATAAAAGAAAGTAAATGTCATTTACAGTAAATGATATTTACTTTCTTTTGCATTAAATATTCAAATAAATATCGTATTTATAAGGCTGTAATACATTCTATAACAAAGATGTGAAGGATAAGGATGACTGAAGAAAGATCGATATACTATGTGACTCTTTTATGCAATGATATGCGTAAAAGAGTCGCAAAGAGTAGTAGACCCAGGTATGACGGCTAAAAGGGATATGTAAAAGAACATACCGCATTGACCCCAAATAAATAGAAAAAGACAAGGCAATGGTAATGATATTCTATAACAGCGTTTGCATTGCATCTACTAAATAATACATATTAAAGAGCTCTTTCCTACCGTGTATAATATTAATCACATTTCATTTAAATCAATTCAACATTGAATATATAACGATTAGCGGCCCGTCCCGGCTTTGCACGGGTGGACATTTTTGCAACATTTTACATTTTTCAACATAATATCTTTCCGGATGCAATATACCTACGATTTGAAAAATTCAAAAAGTAATCTGCGGATATTGAAACAATTTGGAATACAAAATAATTTATTTGGATAAGGATTAATAAATAGGTATGAATAACATGTACAACGCGACAGCATTATTTTTTCTATTTCTATGACTTATTAAATTCGTAATATCTATTGAATGGAACAGCCGATTTGAACAATTCAAAAAGTAATATATATAAATTGAAACAGTTTTTAAAGCAATGTGATTTATTTGGATAAGGATTTAAACAGAAGTATGAATAACATGGTGCAATTTTGGTCGGTATTTCTATCAACTTTTAAAATGTAAAAAGTGGTTATTGTGGCATAACGATAATAGATGGATATATAGTATCGCGAAGTTTTTTTGTAATTATTGATATTTTCTTCAATATTGTAGAACATACTTTTGTTCTATCATCAATAGTTTCCGCAGTGTACGCGACGTAAGATATTTTATAGCATTTTTTATACCTTGAGTTACGTTACTAGAAATTTGGTAAGGATTCCTAAGCTTTTCTAGCAATAAATATAGCAATAAATATTTACTCAGGGTAAATGTAGCTTTCTAATGGTGAAAGAATTTTTTAAATCGGCAAAGTAGTTTTTGAGTTTATTCATTACAAACTTACACACAAAAATACAAATCTTTTTTCTTTATAATATTAGTGTAGATGTTTTTTATTTGATGCATCGAATATGCAAACTATGAGATGAATGTCTATGATTATGACTAATAATGAATAACGACTGTAGTGACTATCGCAAGATTTTTTGAGTCTGAACGTAATAATCAGTTCAGCCAATACAACACGTCTGCCATTTATTAGTTTGGTTGAATGTGTTATGTCTCCGATTCTGACAAGTCCGATAAAAATGTAGAGACCTTTTCATTATGGAGTGATTACCATAAGTTAGTGTATCATAACTAGAAAAGTAACAAATCTGAAGACGCTTTGTCTGATGAACTTTCAATTTATCTTAGAACTCTTGTTGGAAGACTAAACGAACTTCCATTAGAAATCTGGAGGGATTAGATATAATATACAAGGCAAAAGAGGCATATTAATATAATTTATTTAATAAAATTTCCAAAGCGTGTACTGCCTTAGAAATTTTATTAAATAAATTTAGGAATAGCTTTTAAGTATTTAAAAATTGTTGGCACAACTGTCACGTCAGAAAAATTACGTTCACGAGCAGGGATAGTTTTAACTGAGCCAAGAAACCGATTGATTGAAAAAGATTAAGTAAATTTTTGTTATTATATAGCACTGAAAAAAATATTTGAGCTTATAAACAAATAAGCTGTGTTTGTTCTGTGATTGTGAATTTTAATAAATATTTTTCCTTGTACTTACATAGGTTTTTTTAAGGCTTAAATATGTCCATTGCGTAAAACAATTAATGTTTTGGAAACATAGACTTCTTTCTCAACAAGTACATTGTATTTACATTAATGTAACCGATCGATGCATTACATTCGATGTCATCATTACATCAAAAACATAGATGTCTATTTTAAAATGTGAATGTCCATCTCTAATACGGGAAACATATTCGTACCTACCTTTACAATTATAACGTTATAATTCTCTTAATGTTTAAATTTGCTCTCGCACTCTGGGAGCCCCGTCGCCAGTATAAAATAAAAATGGACGGGCCACAGATATCAATGCGACTATTATTATTATTATTAAATTAATAATTATAAAAATTACCTATCTGATTAAGTATATAAACTTACGTTTAAATGAGATCACAATGTAAAAATACTTAGCTAATGGTAGATACTTCTCCAATAAACTAATTGTAGATATGAGGAAAGGATTGTTAGTAATGGGAATTCCAGTGTGATCTTCTCTGGAAACCATGTTGGTTAATTCTTATTTTAATTCGATGGACCAACTGTCCTGCTTATCAGACGGATAGCGCAGGAGAAATTACCATAATCATTAATTTACAATAGCAAATGGAGATACGTACATACATATATGGCAAGTTATATTGCCATCAAGATACATAATTCATTAACTTTTTATTTATTCCAGTAGTAAGTAAGTAATTAATTGTAAAAATGTAACAATCTATTAATATTGCTGCTTATATCGCTACTATTAAATGCGATTTGGAGCATTTGGTGTTAATCTAATAAAAATAGAAAACATGAGAAGGTTGTTAAACATACAAAGTTTGCGAGAGGTTTCATCTACCTGCCGTCTTTCTATCAAAACTTAAAAAAATTAAAATTGAGAGGGGTTTCAATTTTTTTTTATATAAGAATGCAAGCGACACAGGGCGACCTTTCTTATTATGGCATTTTTTGTATCAAACCTTTATTCCACTTTCCTTATAAAGTTTATTCGCTGAGATAGAAAAGTGATGTAACTTGTTTTGTTTCCGATTAAAATTTTTGGAGTCAAAATTGTAGATGAAACTTTAATGTCCGGTACAATCCGTTATGTATAGGTAATGTGTTCATAAGAATATTCAAAATATTCTAGACTGGAATCATTATTAAATTTATTCAAAATAACGGCAAGTACGCAATTTTTACAATTATGCAAAAATATTATCTGTTTTATATCATGTAATTACATTATATATTTATATATAAGCATAGTAAAAGTAGGTATTTTAGTCTATTGTAAAAATGTTACTAATTTTTTGTTTTGAAATGCTTTCTTTAATGGATGAAAATAAAATAGTAATCCTGCCTGTATTGTCGGTATACGCTGACTAAAAGATGATAGGGAATGAAAGCAGGTCAGTTATCCCATCGTGTTCATCAGTACGAATTCCACAAGAATTAACCATAATTGTTTCCAGGGCAAACTGCGTGGATGTCGACCTGATAAGGTATATTGTTAGCGATAGGGCTGTTAGACTCCAACCCCTTTCTCTCCATGGTTTTGCAAATGCGCCCCTATGGTTTGAAATCCGCAACATTTGACGCACGAAAGTACTGCGGTTAATTTTAAATTTTTCTTATTTAGGACGTCTGTCCTAAATAATAAAATCTTAATTATTTTAATCTTAAAATAATCAGCAGCAGTTGTACAAATCGAGTTGCGTAGCTATTCTGTGCATAAGCTTCGCATTGCAGGTGACTCGGTATGGGTCACAGTCACAGGTGCCGTTGTGACTTGTGCATTCTTTGTGCAAAGCCGTGGGATCGCCGGCTCTATGTCTATTCATATCAGGCAAATATAAGTACGAAAGATTGATAACTTTACTAAGGTAATATTTACATATATCTAACCACCTATTTAAAGGGCGGGTGCGGGAGGGAGAGAGGGGAATTGAATATTATTAACACAATTATTAGGTGGAATATTCATTAATTGTCGTGTGGTCCCGGCATAGTACTTCCTTACCCGTGGGTGTACTGTCTCTTAAGAGAGGTGTCTGAAGGCACTTAATGGTCGAGGGATGGGCAGCAGAATCCCTCTTAAAACATGACCAAAAGCTTTACTGCGATTGTCAACCCGTATGTTAAGTGTGATAACTACTGGCAAATCCCCTTTATGGGGGAGGCCTGTGTTCAGCAGTAAACTGCTAACGGCTACTACGATGATGATTCCATAATTAGAGCCATATATTATTCTTATTCAATATATTCATGTACTGTTATTACAATTTAGAGAAATGAGTATTGAAATAATTGACACCAAGGATACGAATTAAGCAATAAATCTTACCAGTTCGTAATTATAAGACTTCTGAGTTAGCATCAGTCAATCCTGATAATAGTGTGGGAATCTTCTATTCGAAGAACAAAA